GCCCCTCACCACACCCGCCTGGGATATTTGAGTAGGACACAGAGGGCAGGCCCCTGAACCCGAGGGCCCCGACTGGACATGTGACACCTGGGCATGCTAGCGGCCAGGTGCGGTGTTAGAAGAGGGTGCCGCTTGCCTCCCTTTCAAACACAAGGCAGTGGGCGGCTGCTGGTGGAATCTTCTCCGCCACCTTCCCGTCAGAGACGGAGGGGAAAAGTTTCTCGGAAACCCTTCTGCGTGTTAGGAAACCCTTCTGCTTATTATCTCACTGAATTCTCACAACACTTTGGGAATAGGCGTTCTTTTTCCCCTTCTACAAACGTGAAACTGAGGTTGAAAGAGTTGAGGCTAGCCCCAACTCCCAGCTGTAAATCCTAGAGGAGCCTGTGTGACTCCAGTGCCTGGATGGTTTTTCCCATCTCCAGCTGTCTGCAGAATGGCCCCGTAAGGCAGACCACAGTGAAATATGTAAATCCTACTTAGGCAGCTCGGAAGACTCAAAAACCAAAGCTGGCCTGTCCATCTGATGCTTCGTGTCCGTGTCCTGGAGTCCCGTATGTATGGCTGAAGCCACTCCCCTAACCCCTTCCCAGAAGGATATGGTGTGTCCTGTTTAGGTTTGTCTTGTTTGTTCCAAGAGGTGTCCAGGGCCATTCTCTTCTCCCCAAAGTACCATTAACAGGATTTCATGCCTAAGCAGCTGCCGAACAAGCCCTGGGGAGCCTGTGTCAGTTGCAGGTACTATGGGTCTTGCCCTCTGGGTCTGAGCCCAGAGAAGGGGTGTCTCTGTCCTTCTTCACCCCATAGGACCCACCACCATCACCCTGGCCTATTGTGAGATGAGGATTCACAGTGTGACAGGCAGCAGCAAGGCCACAGGAAGCATCAGTTTATTTATTCATGGAAAGGCGGACATAGCACCCACTTTCAGCCTTCAGAAACACATCTCACTGAAACTATAAGCACAAAGCCTTCCCCAAGATCTTTTCCCCTGCTCCCTTCAGGGGACTGCAGGGGACGGAGTGGGGGCAATTGGCCTATCAAAGCTAGGTAGCCCTCTGGGGCCTCTAGGAGGACAAACACTAAACATCTCCCCAGCATGGATAACTCGTGTACCCTAAAAAGGGTTAGGGACCAGGAGGGCCCTTGTTTGCTCTGGCTCTCACCCAGCACACCTGCATCACCTTCTCTCCAGGTGATAGGAGGAATTGGGATCGCCCTGTGATCCTTGCAGGGGGCCAATAATATGCATTGACTGGATATTTCCCCTCATCTCCATAGAAAATGCACTGTTGCCAGAATTTTATTGAAGGAAAAAAAATTTACAGGGCTCAGGGCAGAGAATGTGGTTCTGAGGCTCCACTTGTTTCCGTAATCAACACACAATGACTTAACCTTGTTTATACCTATACTAGATGTGGGGGCATAAGAAAATTCCGAAGCCATTGCACAGTGTGTTGTCCAAACATGCCCCCAGGCACTGTCTCATTTGATCCACACAGATGAGGCTGCAGGAGCTGTTGTTTCCATTTTACAAACAAAGTAACTGAGGCTCAGTGGGACCAAGGTCATGGGCCACAGAGGGGTAGGGTTTGGGTTAGAATTTGTCTTCTGATGGTTTCTTCCTATGCCACTTCTTCCCTCTCAAGGAAGATGGATTGGGCAGAGCAGGGAGGAGAGCTGGAAATTCCCACAAAGGCTTTCTGCCTGATGGTGAACCAGAATGCTCACGGAACCAGAATCCTCACCCTCAAGCTCTTGATCTGGGAAATGAGAATTTATTGTGTTTACTCGTGGCATATCTGAACTGGGCTATTTTGTGTAAACAGTATCTATAACCCATTGAGCAGGCTGCCAAGATCCATCATGACCCCGCCCTGGCCAAGGTGTCTGGGAGTGATGGATGAAGGTCTCAGGAAAGGGTGTGCCGTCCTGTCACTTATTAGCTAGTGCATGTGTGGGCCCCATTTCTGGTGCTGTATCAGTGTTATGTGTCACATAGGCCAGAGAATTCCCAGCTGCTTGCTGTAAAGAACTCTGACTCCAGGCTCTAAAAACAGATCAGGGAAAGGGCGATCTTAAAGCCAAATGCTTGTCCCTGTGGGCGGGTGGGAGGGGGATCTTTTGGGAGAGACCTGGTCTCTCCTCTGGCATGTGTTTCCCCCTTAGCATGACCACCTCAACCACAAAATCACAGCCTTTGTAGTGGGGGGAGAATGGGGCACCTACCCAAGTCAACCTTCCATCAAGGCCCCATTGTTCTACTTTCCCACGAAGATGTCATGCCTTGAAAGAGAGGGCCTACCAAAAAACTTGCACTAGATTGTAATTCATATATTTTGCTATTATTTTTATTTCTTAAAAAAAATCCATCAAAGGCTATGCCTGCTCATTCAGAGATCTGATTTGAATCAGGCATGACTTAATGCTTTCATGAGGGGTGAGGCCTTGTGGGTACCTGTGGAGGGTGTGGCAAAAAATATACAACATAAAATGTAGCATCTAAGCATTTTTAAGTGTACAGTTCAGTGACATCAAGTGCCTTCACATCGTTGTGTAACCATCACCACTATCCGTTTCCAGAATGTTTTTAACATCCCAACCTGTAACTCTGTACCCATTAAACAATAATTCCCCATTCCTCCCAGCCCTGGGAACCACCATTCTACTTTCTGTCTCAGTGACTTTGACTACTCTAGGTACCTCATACAAGTGGACTCATATAGGGTTCGTCCTTTTGTGATTGGCTTATTACACTCAGCATGATGTCTTCAGGGTTCATCCATGTTGTAGTAGGTGTCAGAATTTTCTTCCTTTTAAAGGCTGAATAATATTCCATTGTATTATATACCAATCATTATCCATTCATCCATTGATTGGCATTTGGGTTGCTTCCTCATTTTGACTCTAGCGAATAATGCGTAGAGTTTTAAGATGTTGGAAGTAGTTCCTGAAAATAGTGCCTGTGTGAACCTGAGGACAGAGACCCCGGGTTGGGAACCCAGGATCTCTCCTAACAGCGTTTACAGGTGATGAAGCAGAGGCTCAAGGGAAGCTGTGATTTGTCTCATTCCCCTCTGGCCACCCCCCGACCCAACCCAACCCCAGCTGCTTTGAGCTTCTGCTTTACTTCTTGATAGAGTGGCTAGAAAACTGTTTGCTCCCTCCATGAAATGATATTTTATGAAGCCATTTTATAATTATAGCTTTATTATCCTCACTGGAATCCCGTGACCCAACACCTGGCTCCTGTCAGGGGCCCTATACAGCTATCCCAAGGCACAAAAGGGTAAGACTTCTCCTGATGTGCCATCCTTTGCCCTCAGGCTGGTTGGGTCTCCTAAGGTGACCGCCCTTTCACAGGCAGCAAGTTTGGAAATGAATTGGATGTGTGATGGGGGAAAGGGCCAAAGGCCTGTTGACACTGAGCACCCCCACCCCAGAGGAGCTCTTGGACGGACTCGGTGTCCTGTCCTGCCATTTGCAGCATGAGCGGTCATTCTAATCATGGTCTCCACTGATGAATGGCCTGTTGACTTCACCAAGACCACGCAGGACTTAACAGACCAACATAAGCTGGAGGTGGATGCCCGGCCTGGACCCCACAAACCACAAGCTGCCCAGCCCTATGCTGAGAACTTTCTCTTGGGGCCTGGAGGACACTTGAGTTGATTTAGGTTGGAATGGAGGGCGGAGTTGGCAAAGTAGGATGAGAGCCCCCCTATCATTAGTCTACTGTGTATTCATCCAAAAATCCAGGTGAGAGCCAAGCCATGAGCTGGATGGACAAAGCATTGCTATTAAACTCTGTACCTCTTTGCATCCGTTTCCTCAGCTCACCCCTCAGAAATGCCACTGAGGAAAGATCGATGAGAAGGAGGTGACCCAAATAGGCTTCACTGCAAGCAAACAATGTTGAATCAACAATAGATTCTTTGTTAAATCACCCAATTCTTTATGTTTATGGCCTTTTATTGTTGGTTTTTTCTGTCTCTGGACAAACACTCCATTGTGAACATTTTACAAAATTTAGATTAAGCAAAGAGAAGAAAATAAAAAACACCCAGATCCCACCACGAGCTAAGCATGGAGTTATTTTCTATGCATATGTAACTATATGTTTTAAAATTTGTAACAGCTTTATTAAGCCATAATTTGCATTCAGTAAAACTCACCCATCTTAAGTGTAAATTTTGATGAGTTTTAGCTATTGTACACAGTTGTATAAACACCATTATACTCAAGATATTTCCAGCATCCCCGCAAAATTCCCTTGTGCCAATTTGTAGTCAACCCTTTCCCCTACTCCTGGCCCCAGATAACCACCCATCTGATTTTGGAATGTCATATACATGGTACAATACAGTATGTAGCTTTTTGAGTCTGGCTTTTTTCACTTAGCATAATCCTTTTGAGATGCAACCATGTTGTAGCATGAGTCAGTAGTTTGTTCCTTTTTATTGCTGAGTAGTATTCCATTGTATGGATATATGATATTTTATTTGTCCATTCATCAGTTGATAGACATTTGTGTTGTTACCAGTTTTTATGAATTTATAAATTATGAATAATGCTGCTATGAACATTCATATACAAGTCCTTATATGTATATATATTTTAAATTCTCTTGGATAAATACCTAAGAGTGGGATGGCTGGGTTGTGTGCTAAGTGTATAGTTTAACTGTGTAAGAAAGTGCCAAAGTGTTGTCCAAAGTTGTGCCATTTTGCATTCCCATCAGCAGTGTATGAGAATTCTAGTTGTTCTTGCCAACACTTAGGCATATCAGTCTTTAAAAAATTTCCCTGATGACTAGGGATGCTGGGCATTTTTTCATATGCTTATTGGTTATTCTTGTATCTTTTATATAAAGTGTTTTCAGACCTATCTTTAAAAATATGATTATAATGAAATGTAATTATACAATATGATTATATTGTAGAGATTTTAGTACAAAAATTTGCCCTAAGTCTAAGAGGAAATTATCACCAATAGAGGATTTTTAAACCTATCAAGAATGGGTTTAAAGCACTATAGATCCTTTGAAAGGATCCTATGGATGGAATGTGATAGAAGGGGAGGGCTATTTTAATAGGTGATTAGGAATGGCATCTCTGAGGAGGTGACATATGAATACAGATATGAATGAAGTGAGAAAGGGAGCCATGTGAATAGTTGTGAATATCGTGTGCAAAGGCCCTGAGATAGGAGAGGGAGCAATGAGGAAGGAATGAATGCAATAAAAATGGTACTGAATTTCAATAATTATACTTCTGGTCAATGCAAAACATTTGCTGAGTGCCTGTGAAAAGCCAGGCACAGTACTAAGTGCTTTGTGTCTGTTATTTTTTTCTCACAACAGACCATAAGCTGTATGAAGACAGGAGCTATGCCTGTTTCACTCACCTTTGTGGGCCCGGATCTAGGATATTGCCTGGTACACAGAAGGCACCGATGAATGTCTGTTGAAGGAATGAAGTAGTTAAATAAACATGTGTTTCTTATTATTCTCATATTATAGATGGAAAAACCAGTCTCAAAGAAGTTAAGTAACTTACTGAAGGTCATAAAAGTAGATGGTACTGAAGCTGAGACTCAAATCTTGGTGCATCTGACCAGGAAGCCCCGATTTTTGCTACTCCCCCAAAGCTGCTATGGATTCTCCTTCCTATATATGTTCAGCCAATTCTCTTCTCCCCCTACCATGAGGGTAAGATAAGAGCTGGTCCCTCAGTCAGGATCCCAGAATAACAGACACGTGGAGCAGAGCCAAAGCCAATCTGTAGCTCTGACATAAAATCTGAGAAAGAAATGAATGTCACTGTAAGACTCTGTGGAGTCTCTGAGGTTCCAAATAGAAGAAAGAGGCTTGATGGAGGTACCATTTAATCCCCAAAATAAAACCAGCTAGGCACAGGCTCCAGACTGCTATTTTGGCCAGAAGAACACATTTTCATCACATTCAGTGGGTTCTAAAGATTTCAGATGGAATACCAACAGTTTAAGTAAAAGGTGTCCATTTAGTCTGATCCAGCACCACATCAAGCCTACATGGCAGCTGTGGACTGAAAGAAATCATCCTTTTGACCCCTCTGTCCTGTGGTCATTGATGGGGTGGAAGCTGCTGGACCGGCTGTTGTGGGCTGCCTTGAGTTGTTTGTGTTCTCTTGCAAACTGCAGTGCCCAGGCCTTTGAATCC